AAATATTTAATTAAAATATTAATAAAAAATTGTAATTAAATAGAATATAATATAGGATATACAGATATTTGATATATAATGAGGCAGATGATCGAAAAAATTCTATTCTTTATATTATGTCTTTTTTGACAAATCTACAGTTAAAAACATGTGAAAGAACAAGATAAAGTTTTACAAAAATATTAAATGTAAGAAATAATATGAATAATAACTAAGTTGTGACACGTACTAATACATATAAAATAAACTAATAAACAAAAATAATATAATTAATATAACTAAATATAAACCTTCTAAAAATGTGCTTGTCGATGTAATCGAACTGAGTTGTTAAACGCTTGTTAGTTTTTTGTTCTTATTAATTTTATGTATAAATTTGAGGTGATGAAGAATAGTTATTTGTACATTTATACATGTAGATTAGAAAAAAAAATCTTTATTATTCTAATTTTAAATAACTTTTTTATTTACTATAATAGTTTTTTTAATATAATATATAAGTATGATATTGAAAAGATAAAACAAGAAATATTTTAATTATATAATATTTAATATGTAAGAAATGTAACTCAATTGGTAAATTAATAGGTAATCTTGAGATAAAACAATGAGTGATTTCTGAAAAAAGAAAATTATAGGAACTAAAAAGTTCACGTTTTTAATATATTTTTAATAGAAAAATTGTAAACACAATTACTCAACAAATACTATATAAAAAATAATGTTTGAGAGGACTACAAAATGTTGCTATACTACAATGAAAAATTCAACGATAAGGTATTCTATTGAAAATTTCAACGAATATGTTGCTTTCATTGGCTATTCCAATCGAGTTCAAATTAAGTTACATGAACTTTAGTGGATATAAAGATTTCAATTACCTGAATTTCTATTGGAATTTATTTTTTGGACCATATTTCAATCGTTGAAAAAATTGTCATTAGTATTATGCAAAAATTCAATAGAAGTTCCATTGAAAAGATAATTGCAGTGATAGATCTAAAATAATTTCATATTGGGAGCATTATTTAGTTAATAGAAAAATATATACCATCAAAATAACATGTCATTGCAATTTATAAATTATACTTTACATAATCTATCACCTTTCTCATTTGTAATACATTTTAATAAATCTATGCAATCACAATTCACAATAAGGTAAAATATATTTAAGAAACCAAAAGTCATGATTTTTCTAAAATCAACATAAGAAAATCGTTATTTTTGTTGTAATTTTTGTTGGAATTTTCTCATTTTCTTGTAGTAAAACTAAGACTCCAAATCTATAAAAAAAAAAAACAAATGCATTATATATAATATTGTGTGCAACTATTATTATGAAAATTTTTGTTACGATAGAAAATATAACACATTCAATGTAATTGGCGTTCAATTTATGGTAAGAATTAATTTTTTTCAAAGCAAACAAGATACTTTGAAAGGTCCTTAATTATTTTATTAGTATTATAATAACTAAATAAGGGGTAAGAAAGATGACAAAACTTATAACTCTCATTAAATCCAAAAGTAAAAATGCTGATAAAATTATTTAATGTACAATATCAATTGGAGCTGGCTAATGATAAATATAAAACATACTTAAGATACACATATATTTTAACTGGAACTTTTAAGTACATAATATATATACATATATATATATATATATATTCATATGTATATTTCTTTAAAAGTGGGTATGTTAATCTTAAAATTTTTTAGTTAAGATTTTTATTACTTTCTATTATTAAATTTTTTAATTTTCAAATACTTCATATTTTTTATTTGTTACCTTTTTATATGTAATATATCACATCATTTATTTTCAATGATGTTTGAGTTGACCCATATATTGCAATAAAATAAAAATAATATAATTATTTATATTGATATAAAAAAATATATTTATATATATATATATATATATATACCAGTACTAATTTAAAATAATAAATTAGTCTTAAAGTATATAATATAATAAATTTTATATTCAAGTTAAATCAATTTTATTAAGTATAAAATAACATAAGATAAACTTGTGGTATGTTTTCCATACATAAATTTGAAACAATTCATATTTAAAAAAAAAAAAGAGTAAAAAAATGGGTGTAAACTTCTAACTGTTCCCACGTTTTGGCTAGAGTGTCCAAATCCGATATATGATTGACACGAGTTTGTCGTAATGCTGAAACTATGACAAATGCACCTTAGGGTACAAACGAAGCGAAGCAATGTGAAGTCATAGATAAAAGGAAATGCTAGGCCAGAGAAAGGAAATGAAATAACATTAGCTATGTGAAGTCAATTACTGCTGCAAAATGAACCCTATAATGGTGGTACCATATATGTATTCAGTAATTATGAAAATGATTTAGTTAATTAATATTTTATCAAACATTGGAAAAAATTCTAAAACTTTTTAATCTAATAATTCGTATAAAAAGTACAATTTTATCAAATATATTAAATTTCATTTAACTGTATGTGATTATATTAATTGTAGCCTACTAAATAAGATAATTTGATACCATCATTATATAAAACACATACAAAATATAACATAATACGTATAAATGTGCTTTAGTTACTTAGCAAATAAAATATTATTTGTCTATACAATAAGAAACAAATAATATAATAGTAATGCAATGAGAAAAAAAAAACATGCTAATTTTCTTAGAAAAGTATGAATACCAATATTTACAAACAAAAAGTCTTTTAAAATTACTATTTTTTTGTTGCTAGCATTTAAATATATGGACTCTGTAAGAAATTGATTCTCATAAATAATGATCATATATTATTTATTTTCAATTTTAAATAATTAAAAAATATAAAAATTTGTATACATGATGTATATATTTTAATCATGACTCCATAATAATAAACTTTACAAATGACTAAAAGTATCGTCATATAATGGAATTCTAATTCTTCTATTGTCAAATATTTTAACAAATGATCATATGTTTCTCAATATTTTCTCATTGTTTTGTTTTATCATTGCAAAAAATAGATTATATTGTTCGACTATATTCTAAATAAATAACACTGAAAATGAAATGTAGAAGTATCAAAACAGTTTTGAATGTTAGAATTAAGTTGTCACTTTTTATAGAAATATTTATAATCTCATTGGTGTATTGTGCTTGAACATATGTGCAATTACTTTAGATGTACTTTCTGGTAATGTATGATGGTTTCAAAAAATAATTTAGCACATTGGGAGAAGTACATGTAACAAAGATTTTGGAAAGTCAATTTTTATTTGGAGATAAAATTCATTCCCATCTCGTGGGGCGATGCATCAATAGGGTAGATACCAATATATCTAGAGATAGAGGAATGTAGTAGTTTATACAGTGATAAAAAATATCAGCAATTTTAGTGACACCGTTAGTTATTTTATAGAGATATTTATCCTTTGTTAGTAGAAGTACCTTGTTATAAAGATCATACGATCATGAAGTTTGACTATATGTTGGGTCAGAATGTTTCTTAACTGTCTGAAAAAAATTGGCGTTTTGCCAAATTAATTAGAGGAATTTTGCAATAGTATTGATGTATTGGACTCCAACGACTATCAATGTTCTTATGAGAACGTTAAAACTAAAATGAAAGAAAATCTTTGTGTTTTTTTTATTAGGAATTGTTTTTTTATATATATTTTTGTTGGGGTTTGTAAAATGTTATTTCACTATTTTTATATGAGGACATCATTACGTTAATTCTAAATAAAAAAAATCACATATGAGTTCATTTTTTCTATATTTTACTTCATTTATGCAATGATGTGTTTAATAAATAAATTAATTTATTTTAAAAACTTACTCCGCGAAAACTAATCGACACCACATACATCGCACGTGCACTTTACTAGTAGGTCTAAAAGGCCGATTTCCATATCTTCAATATCTTGACCAAGTTCATCTCTCTATCTTCCTTTAATCAGGAATCTTCCCTGTTGCTTTACGTGATCCACCCTATTAACCTATATCATGAAATTGAATTAATGCCAAGATAACCATCATCTTACAATAACGCCTCGCAATTGCCATCTACATTATTTCTTTTCCATTTTTCTACACACCTCACATTTGATATGTTATAATTAGATATGTTCTTTACTTAA